CTTGTTGGTCTAAGAAAAGATATTGTCTCTACTATGAGCCCTGATTGCTTTTTCCTCTAGGCCAATATGGCTACAACCTGGATACCTAAAGTCTACAAAGTAATTTTGAGAATGGGCTGTGAGTCTTACAAGTAAATGTAGTACCTTTGTAAGAGCAATGAACTTGGCTTCCAGCCTCCAAACAGCCAAAAAATACAACGTTCAAGCAACACATTCATTTGAAAAGCAATGCCAGATGCTTAAGTTCCCTTTTATTTCTCTTCTGAAAAGGGCTTAAAATTAACTGCCTCTCCCCAAACAGACAGAACACAATGATCTTAAACAGTTTTTTTAATCAGCTGCTCCATGTTAGCTTGAAAAACACAGTGAAACAAAATGACGCATGGCAAGAAGTGAAAAACTTCCAGTCTTTCTTTACTGACCTTATGCCCCTGTGCACGTAGGTGCCTCATGGTGCCGTTTAAATGAAAAATCTCCTCTCCTATGAAGTGATTATCCAGGACTGTGTTACTAAAAAAATAACCACAGAGGAAATCTGCACAGACAAAAGCTGTGTCTTCCTAAGTGCTTCAGTTCAAGTATTCAGGCTGACTCCCTAAAGGCAAGATGAGGAGAGACCCAACCCACAAGGCACTTCAGCCTATAAGAATCACTAATGAAGTGAAAACCACTCCCATATGTTAAACTGAATATTAAGAAACACACAAAGGGGGGCGGGAGGAAGGGCAGGATGCCGCGGGAAAAAACCTCACAGGCACAGACTGAGCTAATGATTCCTGCTACATCTTTATTTTGTACAGTATCCGAGTTATTACAGTGTAACAAACATTAGAGAGACATTCTGCTCTTAGTTATTCCAACTTTACACCAGTATAAATATACGTATTCACACTGATTTACTGAACGTACTGGAGCAGAATTTGGGCCTTACAGAGTGACCTTTCCCTCCTTCTATACTCTTCTCATATAAAAGCTACACATATTTTAAAAAGAAGACAATTTTCTTTCTGCTACAGTCCAGAAAGAATTATATTTGGATGAAGGAACAGAGAGAAAGTTGCTGCAACTGAACTGTGAATTAAATATATTTGATATTATTCTTAGCATAAGACAAGCTAATAATTATGGTCAAATGTAGGGTCTTCAGGTCTCCTAATGCTGTCTTTTTTTTAATTTCTAATGCATATTACCAAAGCCCTTTTTAATACGAAGAGCAGCAAATTCTTTTGCGAGAGAGAGAGAGAGAAAGCGACAGCAAGTATTAATGCTTATGGCCGTTCTGAACTGACATCTTGGTAAAAATGCCTGAAGCCTAATTATAGTAATGAAGTATCCAGCATTGCAGCTCCACTGACAAAAAGGTAAGGGTCTGAATTTTTTCCATGTAAAAATAAACCTAAGATAGTGGATACTACAATTCAGTCTTCATGACTGCCTCTCTCAAGATTTCAGCATAGAGAGGGGTTCTGAGTTTTAGGACAAGACACTTCTTGAACTGAATTACAAAGTAGATAAAAAGCCAACCTTAATCACTACCAACCAGAGGGCAAATTCTGTTTCTGGTCTACCGATGTAAATTTAGCAAAACGCCACTTACTTCACTAGAGTAAATGAGATTACAGTAGGGCCTGGCCTTTAGGCAATGTTTTAATTACCAACATAAGCTCAGCAGGACTCAAACTACATTAGCTGAACTGGTTTAAAGCAAGTCTTATCTAACATGCTTTAAACATTTTTTAACTAGCCCAGTGGTTCGTATCTAGGGTGCCACAAGGACCCCCTTTGGGGTGCTACAATTTAGGCGGCCAAGTAACATTAGGCCTCTCTGATACAGCAGACAAGGCTGGATTGGGCTGTAGCCCCTCCTGGTCTGGCCCCCCTCATGCTCCTCCCCACAGTTCACCCCTGCCTATTTCCAGGAGAAGCAAGGGGGAGGCAGACCAGGAAGAGCTAGAGCAGTGGTCACCAACCAGTGGATCTCGATCCACCAGTAGAAGTCGGAGCCTCTTGGAGTTGATCCGAGGCTAGGGTTGGGGGCTGAGTGCCCACGTGCCCCAGACCAGCAGGTCAGTCCCTGGGGGAGTGAAGGGGCGGGGGCCAGATCGTGGCCCCCAGTGACGGACAGTGCCACAGAGGCAAAAGCAGGGGTAAGTTGAATGGGGCCAGGTGACTATCCAGCCTCCTCTTGAAGACCTCCAAGCTAGGTGATAGCACCACCTCTCTTGGAAGCCCATTCCAGATCCTGGCCACCCTTACTGTGAAAAATTTCTTCCTAATATCTAACCTAAATCCACTCTCAACTAGTTTACACCCGTTATTCCTAGTCACTCCCTGGGGCGCCTTAGTAAACAGCACTTCCCCTATTCCCCGCTGACCTCCCCTAATAAATTTATAGGCGGCCACAAGATCTCCCCTCAGCTGTCCCTTGTGAAGGCTGAAGAGATTCAGCTCTCTCGACCTCCCCCCGTAGGGTCTATCACGAAGGCCACTAACCATGCGAGTGGCCCTCCTCTCTACCCTCTCCAGATTCTCCGCGTCCCCCTTGAAGTACGGCACCCAAAACTGGACACAGTACTCCAACTGCGGCCTGACCAGCGCCGCATAGAGGGGGAGCATCACCTCCTTTGCTCTATTAGTCATGCACCTGCTAATGCACGACAAGGTGCGATTGGCCTTGTTGATGGCCCTGTTACACTGCCGGCTCATGTTCATCTTGGAGTCAATTATGACTCCAAGATCCCTCTCTGCCTCCGAGCTGCTGAGAAGGACACTCCCCACCCTATAGGTGTGCTGGGGGTTCCTCCTTCCCAGGTGGAGTACCTTACATTTATCTCATGAACGACGTGTGCCCCCGGAGGCGGGGAGGCACAGTGAGCTCCCGCAGGCGGCGACAACACTGCCAGCGGCAGGAACGTGGTGAAGGTAAGTTGGGAGCTGCCGCAGGCAGCCGTAGCACTGTCAGCAGCTGGGCAGGGGGGCGGGGGCGCAGTGAGCGCTATTAGTCGACGACCACCCGCAGACACCACCGGCAGTGTCGGCCAGCAGCAATTGCGGACCACCTGCAGGCGCTGACAATGTCAGTGGTGCCTTTTTACAGGGGGGGCACTGCCACGCTCCGGGGGTGCACGCGCACCCACATGCACCCCCTACACATGGCCAATGGGTGATCTACTTAAAAGGTTGGAGACCACTGGGCTAGAGCCTGAGCTAGCTCTGTCTGTGTCAGGGTTATCAGAGAGACCTAATGCAGTGGGAACATGGGCACATGCCACAGCCCTTCCTGGGCTGGCTGTGCACAGGCATGCAGGCAGTCTTACTGGAAGTGTGGCCACATCTAAAGAAGTGGCGGAGGGCAAAATCTCTGAAAAGGTTGAGAGCCACTGGTCTAGCCCATGTGTACGGGGATTATAGTCTAGAATCAAGTTTAAAAGCCCGTACTGGATCTCCTAACTGGGCTTAAACACTAAGTCCTGCCTGGGCTTGTTTCCGTTCACATTTTTCAGCCCAAGTGGTTTTACACTGAGGTAGCCCATATCCACTGAACGCTGTGATTTAAAGAGGTTCAGCAAATCTGATTCTTGACGCATATGCAGATAGGAGCTCAAAGGCATAGATACTCCTATCAAGAAGAGGGACAAACCTCTAGACACATGGCAGAACTCCACAGAAGAGAAGTACGACTATTCAGAATGCCACCTCCCATCTCCATCATAAGGTACAGGTAGGGTGCAGGTTGGGGGAGGGAAGCTAAATTATACAGTGGATCCTGGATTTTTCATTTAGGGGTGGCAGTGGGTTACCAAATTAAGGAAGAGCTTTGCTTGCTGTGGCTTTTACTTCAAAAGGGAATCACTGCTCCACTCGGCCAGAACGCTGACTTGGTCTCATGTGGCTGATCAGAGCAGTGATGCCCTTAGAAATAAAAGCTGCGGCAAGCAACCAGAACATCTCATGGCTCATTATAACCTACCTGATCCCTTCTAAACTCTGCACCCCACAGGTGTCAGTGACCCTCTCTTCTTTTTAATGCTCTTGATGAGATCCTTCGTTCTGCAATTCTGGGGTCTGTTAGCTGATCCTGGGAATGCAGCTCCTATTTCACAGCCCTGAAGCTTGTTTTTAACTCATTCCAATGAAGTTATATTTGTTTTTTGCTTCAATCTTAAACTGAATAATACAGCCCCTGGCCCCTAGTATATTAATGACGCTTCTAGTTTATTTTTAATTGGAGAAAAATGTGTGTTGTTCTGTATGTGATGATGCACCTCACCATCTGCACCCCCCTTTTCAAAGTACTGCCCATGTTGCCAGCCCCAGAAGGACAGCATGATGTGTGGGCACTCCTGCCTCACAGTTCATTCACCCGCCCTTTACTTTGTTCTCCTGTGCAACGACCAGTGAAAAACAAAGATTTAAGGTTCGCTCTGTCCCAGGACCAATTTCCTGTACCATCCAGCACCACAGCCTACTTGCTTCTTCCTTTATCTAAGAGTTAAATTAAAAAATGATAAGTCTCCAAGAGTGTTGCAACAAATCCTTTCCAGCTCATGAGCCTTAGCTCAGTTAATGTGTATTTGTCTTCTTCCCGTACTAAGTTAAGTTTATTCTGGCAGACAGTATGATTACTGCAGGATCAGCAACAACAGGTAACATTTTTCCAATGAATATTTTGGCATTGCTGACAGCCCAATCAAGCAGCAGAATATTCTAGGCTCACAATTCCCAGTCCCTCCTCTAAAGAGCCAAAAAGTGGTGCCTGCACCCACTAGAGGTTTGTTACCTTTACCATAACATCCCTTATTTCAGATATAACCCAACAGATGAATACTTGGCAGCTGTCCTTCATCATATCTTGAGGTATTATGAAAAAGTAGTGCTGGCTAAAGCTAGAGAACAGGGCAGAGATCAGAAGTTGTGCTCCTGATAGTCTGTGATGTTTGGCAGATCCTTAAGGTCTACATGCTTTTCCATATCTGTGAAAGAAGTATATTAACACTCACCTAAGTCACAAAGCGTGAACTTCGTTTAGTTCATGTAAAGCTGTTTGAGGTTCTGACAATAGGGATCCAAGTTGCTGTATTCTGTAAATGCAAAGTATAAATATCAGTAAGTTCCTTGGCTGTGGCTGAGCAATTTGTTTCCTTCTTTTCTAGATTTTCTATTGACAAATGCTTCATCAGCAGGCCTCACACTTGTATATTTGAGAAAGAAAGATACCTTGAACGTTACACATGGTTTTTAAGGCCTCTTGTGCACTGTACACAGTATGCCTAAGGAGTAAACCATCACCTCTTCCTTTGACTGGAGGCAGTGCTGTCTCTGGTCAGTGTGTGCAAGAGAAAGTTTTGGGTGTAGTCTCTTAATACTCCTAGTAGAGATAGCGCTTACCGAAATGAACTTCAAATTAAATGAAGCAGCTGGGTACTAATGAAATAAACATGATGAGTAACAGTGCGAGGAAGGGGCTCTAAATCCAGCTCTCAACACTGACTGCCTGAAAAGTCATTTAGCCTCTCGCCTTCCATTCAAACTAATAGCTACACCAGAAGACGTCACGGGCACATCTACATGTGACGCTACGGAGACGTAATGTCTGTGGGCATCTACACGTGACCAGCAGGTACTTCACTGTAGCAACACACTCCCCTGGTATATCGCGCCGCTATGGCCAAGTAGCTGCCAAAAATAACCGTGCACTGCACGTACGGCACAGTATAGGCTGTTACTGCACTGTGATTTAGTACTTCCTTTTGGAAGTACTAAATAACGGCACAGTAACAATGTCACCATAGCGACATGTATAGACGTGCCCTGCGAAGCTTAATCAATTAAAATCTGTGAAGTACTTCGGAGAGTCTTAAATAGATGGTTATGGACAAGTTCTGAGTATTTCCTATTATTAGCTGCGGTTCAGGGACCAGCTTACAAGCTCAGGGCTGGGAGCTGTCAAGTTCATGTAATCTTATAGGCTTATCCTTTTGTAATGAAACTGCTGGAAAGGTTTTCCCAGCTTGCATTTTACCGTTGGACATATAAGGAATATCTTGTCTTCCCTCATTTTTCTGGAGGACCTCTAAAAAAAAGAGTGGGAGGAAAGAGGAAGGAAGGAGAAGTGTCTCATTCTTTCTGTGACCTCTCCCACAGCAACCGATGGGCTGGTGGAGCCGACTATTTAGGACTGTCTGGTAGGCAACGCAGTTGTACCAACAGGGTTCTCAGCCGCCCTTCCACTCTTACCTGCTCACATTTCACTTTCCCAATGTACCGTGTCAATTCACTACTGTTCCTAGTAGGTAGATTAGACTTGACTGTTTAGAATAATCATCAAGCAGGAAGAAAAAAAAAGGCTGTACATCACAAAGAAGGGGAAAACTGCCTGCTTTCTCTGGCAGAGTTGCCTTGCAGGCCTGCTAAGGAAGGCAGAAAGAAATACTCAGCACCACCTAGTGGTAAGATGAAGAGAAACTCTGGCAACTGTTTTCAGAGATTTTTTTAAAGTTAAAAGTGACAGTTCTGGTCATTTAGTTTGACCTCTTGTAAGAGACAGGCCATAGAAGTTGGCCTACTAATTGCTGCATCAAGCCCAAATTTCTGGTTGAGCCACAGCCTACCTTTTAGAAAGCTATCCAGACCATAATTATACACAACAGAAAATCTTCCTAGGAAAGTGGTTCTACTGGTTTGACCCGATTAGAACAGGGCTGTCCACTGGTAGCAAGCAAGCAGCCTGCAAGGGGTTGTCTGCTGAGCTGCCACTTCCCTTATCGCTCCAGCTGCAAGAGCAGCTGGAACCCCCAGGCTCCCCTCCCTCCCTCCCTCCCTCCTCCAGACGCTGCTTCCTACCTTCACCCCAGGGGAAGGGCAGGGCAGGGCAGTACAGCGCAGGGAGCCAAGGGTGAGTCAGGCTGCACATGGCAGTGCAGGGGAGGGGGGACAACGCGGAGCAGCAGTGGATGGGAGGGTGCTAGGGTGGTTGCACAAGGGCATGAATTACACTCAGGGTAGGTGTGGAGGATGGAAATCACATCTGCATGCCTACATGAAGAATCAGTAGGAGGGATGCCCAGTACAGCAAAGGGGGATGCCCATGTAGATCAGTGTAGGAGAGTGTCTGCATGGCATGAGGCCCAGTAACCCATGGCGTGCCTAGTCTGGCCCCCACACTGTGCAGCCCCCACTGCTGCATCCCCCAGGGACTCAAGAGTTGGCCAGAAAAAGGTTAATTTTTTTCCATGAGAAATCTGACTCAAAACTTTACTTTTTGCTTTCATCATTTTTGCTCCTAGGAAAAAATAGCTCAATTTTCCATCAGCTCTAAAAGATAGTTATAATGCATATGCTGTTCCATCTAGCAACTGACATGACTAGACATTGAAAAGATATTATATCCCTCTCTTTAAAGGAAGCATTCTAAAGAAAAAGTGTTTGGGCTGGACTTTGACCAGCTTTTATCGGTGTACCAGATGTACAGGGAAACCCAAGGCATACTCCTTGCCCTAAGGCAAATAAGTGTGTCTCCATACCAATCTTTGCTCTACTCATAGCACTGTGTCTTAAAAACACAATGAACTATTCAGGAAATCTACAGAAGGTAAATAAATTGTATTCACCACTGAAGGTTTATGTCAGCTAATTATCCTTGTGCAAATTTTCTTATTCCTATCCTGCCCTTGGGCTGGAAAGAGAAAAGTTTTTTGTTTCTTTTTCCAGACAGATTGCTCACATTTGCATCATTACATAACTACCTGGATGCCACCATGTGGTTGTTGGATTATAGTCTGCAATATAGCTACAGAGGAAACCAACCAGCCTCAAAACGAAAGGGGCACAGCTAATCCCTTGGACAACAGTGTTACCTAAGTAGGAGGACATGCCTTCAGCTATGAGGAGGGGTGCCCCAAATGTCCAAGGGAACAGCTTAATAAGCAACAAGAGCTTTGCACTGCATTCAAACTGCTACAGTTCAGGCAATTACAAGTACCACAGCTTGCAGAAGGCAATCTGGTAGGAGAGCATGTGAGATCTTTTCTCTCATCCATATGGTACTAAATCAACATATGACTAAGATGACTGTGCGGGTGTCAGTAGGATGATTAAGTAACAACAACACTGGGTTTGAGCGGAGTCAATATATCTATCTTAGCTACTTACATGGTCCTCATTACAAAGCATTTGAGCATCTCTCACTCTTTAGTCTCACAAGACCCTTGTGAATTAAGTGCTATTATTCCTCTCCGACAGGCCAAGAACTGAAGCACAACTCCCTAGTGGTATATAGGCCCCTCATTCCCACTGCTTTCATTGTGACCAGCCTATGTTCCCACAGTACATTTGTGGAAGAACTGATATTTGAACCCAGGCCTCCCATAGCCCACAGCAGCAGCCTAAACTACTTGACCAGCCTCCCTTCCATCTTGAAGAGGTAAGCTACAGCTGACAAAAAGCCAGATCTTAATAGTCCTTCCTTGCCTTTGTGAACACTTACTCACACAAGTAGGCAATGAGACTTCTCACAGGATTAATGGCTAACCGGCAAGTGTAGTCTTACAACTAGCTAAGAGGATTTGGCTGGAGCCTACTACAATATTGCAGGGCTTCCTGCCTTTCTCAAGAATGTGGTCCCACTATACCTTAGATCATGCCTTTGCAAATTTCCAACCTGACTTTCCTATCTGCTACCCCTACCTGTAAATCATCCCAGATTAACTTCAGATCATTTTTAAAGTCTCTTATGTTGGCTGAACTTTCATTGGGCCAGTGGCTTTTCTTCTCCAGGGTGCAGAGGGAGGTTTTAGTTTGATGCACAGAGTAAGCACACCAGGAAGGGGCCATATATAGGGACTGTCCCTAAAACACCCCACACACACTCTATTCTGCAGTGCCTCTAGAATACCGAAGAGTGGGACAGGTAGGGCCACGGCTGGAGTGGCAGGGGTAGACAACGGATCACCTACTGTGAATATTAAAGTGACAACCATTCAGGTCAGAAAAACACAGGAGATCCAGCTTCCACTAAAACCCAGGGACCACAGGTGACTGGTAGGGGAGGCATGGGGAGGGTTGGGGAAGCGGGGGAACATGCCCTGCCTTACATTGGCCCTGACTCAGCATTGCTCAGGACACGGCAATTTTTTTGGCCGGTGAGGGGGTGCACTAAACCATGGCACAGAAGTATAGAAGTGAATATGAGGCTTTTGGCCTGCCTCTGAGCCCACCCACAAATTGTGCTCCCACGCCGCCGACTCAGGAGGCACCAATCACCCTTGCCAGGGACTATAGCTATAATATGCACTGCTCCATGCTAATCCACTGGATTAGGGAAGGAATGATTTCTTTTCCCTCTCCGATCCCACTCAGATCCCTTGTGCAGGGAGGAAACTCATTAGATGGATGAAAGCAAGTAACTGATACACAGAAGAGTAGTGGAAAGAGATGTGCAGATATGCAGACAGCAGCAAAGTACTTTTTATCTCCAGAGAAGCCCACACTGGGCCTGCTGCCAAAACTAGCTCCTGTTCCTAGCAGCTGGGACTCTGAGCATTTTCTTGAAAGGTTCCTCTTACCTCTGTGGGTCATATGCTGGCAGATGCTAAACCTACTGAATTGCGTTAAAGATTTGGGTGGGTAATAAATGCAGGATGGCTTTAATTTCACTGCATTTTCCTCATTGGAGGACTCAGGTGCCTGTACACTAATGCCAGGAACATGGGGAACAAGCAGGAGAAGCTAGTCCTCCTGCTCTCCAGTGGGCATTACGATCTAGTAGGGATTACAGAGACCTGGTGGGACTCCTCACATGACTGGAACGTAGCCATAGAGGGATACACCCTGCACAGAAGGGACCGAGTTAGGAAGAAAGGGGGAGGTGTAGCTTTGATGTGAGGGAGCAGTGCACCTCCTTGGAAGCTGACATCGGCTCCAAAGAACAGCAGCTCGAAACCCTCTGGGTCAAACTAGGGGGGTGGGGAGGAAGACCTAACTGTAGGTGTATACTACAGATTACCAAACCGAGGGGAGGAGCTCGATCTGGAGTTCTCTCGAGAACTGGCAGAGGCCGCACATGCACAGGACATGGTTGTCA